TTGTGGCTCAGTGGCAGAGCACTTATTAGACAAATATGTCCATTTATTTAAGGAAGAAAATTAATATCAACTCTTTTTAAAAAAACAATATTGAAACTCATCATCATTAATCTAAACAAACCCTATACTTTGGGGGTTCCAGAAAAACACTGCTAAGAAGAAATAGGTATGTTATTTCCCTGTCATAATTGGTTACTATTAAACATATTATCTTATGGGAATCAGAAATACTGTTGCTAGGAAAGTATTTTAACTAAGATTTTATGTCAATAATAATCATAATCCAAACCTCATAGCTTATTTCCAACTTTTCATGTTAGATAAAATTTTTTAAATTACATCTGATAGAATTTATGTGCCATGTTACTTTGCTTTACACGGCTTAGTTTATATTCATGCTTATCAGGAAACAGACATGCTGGAAATGTCCTACATAAACCCTTGAAAAAGTGAAATAAACCCTAAATGAGGGTGTAGAAACTGTCATCCCTCACAACATTCTGGCAGGGGCATTCAACATGAGTTAACTATTTACAAGAATAAAAGTTATTTTATTGTCTAAATGATTCCTTCTGCAACCACTCTTTGAATGCTTTCCGTGTGCACAGCTTTCAGCTCTACTCTGCTGAACACCAAATGCTTTAAGAGTACTTTATGCTTTTGAAGCATGTCCCAATAGTTCATGCAAGTACATTCCTTCATTTGGTTTTCCTCAGTATTCCTTGAGAGTGATAGTGCAGGTGTTATTATCCCAATAAACTGATTCTCCAGAGTCCCAGGGCTATTCAGAAGGTGCTGATCCAAGGCTAGAATTCCAGTCATCTAATTCTAGGTCCAATGGCTTTCTATTATACCATAAAAGAGAAAGGGATGGGGGAAAATTACATCTAAAATAAAGATAAGTACTTAAAACTGACTATAGCTATGAAAAACATTGATATCCAGTTTGTTGAGGGAATACACATTAAAAAGAAATCTTCCTCTTGGCTAAGAATACAGTTTTAGTGCCCTTCAAACAAAACCATTTATAAAATACCTTTTATGTACCAGACACTGCTATGGCTTTACTCACATTATCACATTGAAGCTCTGAGTAATAATTTCCCCAAGTTCAATATCTAATCGTATTGAACTTTAGTGGTAGAGCGAGAATTCACACAATTCTGTATCATTCCCGAACTTGTATTTACTCTTTAAGTGCTTTCTCCCACTGTCTTCCTCTATAGACTTTCCTATTTTACTTCCTAATTTCTTTGAGAAAAAAAAAAGTGGGGGGTTGTTGACAGCCACAGGTAAGGAAGGAAGCAGGCCATTCATTAGCTTGCTAAATTATCACTAGCTGCCCTGGTGCCTCATTTGCTCTGGGAATGCCCATGATGGACCTAGGAGGAGAGTCTTCCCAGAATGGAAGTGCCAGATCAGAGACATGAGCAAAGTGACATAGCAGCCTAATGGTGACACACTAAGGAAGTCTGGGGACAGTCCAGAAAGACTATCAAGATGAGGGCATGAGTTGAGCCTCAAGTATCTCTCAGGCCAAGACAAGAGAAGGCACGTCTGCAGTCAAACAAAAAGCTGTGCAATCAGGCATGTACAGAAAAGAATTCCTGAGTACAGAAAACCATAATACTGGTATTACAGGACCACAGAATTCAGTTGCAGGAGGTAGAATGGTGTTCTAAAGAGCCTTTAGGTTGAAATAAACAGATATTGGACTTTATCCTAAAGACAAGAGTGAGCAGACACAGAACAGCAAAGTTTATTGAGCTTCCATTACTTAGGCATATAAGTTGCATGTACAGATATGCAAGACAGTCAAAGTATGAGCTAATAAAAAAAAAAACTGGGCTTGGATGGAAAAACTAAGCTTTCCTGTTTTATTTCAAAGTTGTAAATAAAAATCACAATAACCTATAATTGCTCTAATGAGACCATGTGACCAGGAGATGTAAATGATATAACCATGCTACTTACTCTCAGAGCATGAACATAACACCTCTTTTGTAAAAAGCCTTCACTTTTTAACTCATTTGACAACACACTGTGTGTGTTGTGCTCCCACTGTGTGCCATGAGCTGTGTTAGGCATCGGCACTATGCGAAGCACTGGTTGTGAGGAAGTTCATTTGAAGTGACAGGTAACATGATTTGTTTACAAAGCCAAAGAAAGCAAGGGAAATAAGACTGAAAATAAAGCAAGTGTCAGAGAAAACAAAGAAAAAATAAAGAAGAGAGAATAACTCCTAAGAGATAAAAAGTGGAAATGAGGCTTACGTTTAGGAAAGCAAGCATCTGCTGTAAGTAACCATTTCATTAAAAGTGCACTAAATTGCAGAGGTTCTCTCTCAGGAACAGCATACTGTGGGCTGAGATTAAGGATAATGGGCTCCCACATGAATTCTTCTCATTACTTCTCTTGAAAGAACAGTAAATCTACTGAAAGGGTAATTTAGGTTTAGTGTTCACAATCCATTCATTTTACTTTTAATCTTCCCAGTTTAGGATTTTAAAAATATAATGCAGATATAATCCAAGAGGGAAGGAATGGGTCCAAAATGAGATAATTTCATTTCTTCAAATAGCCTTGGCATTGACAAATATGGAGGAGGCTGTAGACTTTGCGTTCCTGATAGATTATGATGGAGATTTGGCCTGTTTAGAGAGCATTGCACACTATTAATTGCAGGAACCCATTAAAGGACAGCCAACTAAAGATAATCTATACTTTACCCCCTGAATTCTTTAGACCTTTATGTGATTTTAACTAAATCTCTTCTCCATCCCATTAAGTTTCACTTTAAATGTAATTCCACAGAAAGGAAAAGATTTGAGGACTTTCGTCCAGGACAAAAAGAAATAAATTATTTGGGAGGAAAAGTCTGCAAAATGAAACATCAATTATTCAATTGTAGGAATGAGATTTTATAAAATAATTTTTCAAAAATGTGAGCCTGAAAAATGACTTATAATCAGTATTTTTTTTTCTGTTGTTTAACTGATACCAATAGGTTTGTGGAACTGTATTAAAGAACAAGCAAAATCTGTAGTCTTTCCTACAGTGTTATTTCTAGGAAATAAAAGAATCAAATCCTCCCCGATTTTCTGTGGTTCTCCTTGGCTTTCCCATTGGATACAGGGAAATATATTCTGGGCCTGTAATGTGCACATTGGATCCTTATTAACCGAGTAACCTATTAAACCAATTTCATAGAAATCTAGGAGGAGAGCAAAGGCAGACACACTACACATAGTGGTACATATGAAGGAGCTCGTTCATACAATATAGGATTATGTTGATTTGAAACTGAATTATTGTTTATAATGTCTAGAATTTGCTTTTGTTTCTCCATTACAAATCAAAGGATTTAACATTTCCTTTTCAGATATTAAAGAAATGAACATTTAGTCTAGTGGGAATGAGGAAATGAATTTTGTTAGAATTTGAGAGTAACAATTTATCCAAAGGAAATTAGCAGCATAGACCCTCACTGGACAAACAACACATTCCATGAAATAATTGTTATGACATTTCAATGCAGTCTCACCATGAAGCATTTCCTTGTAAATGACTAAACAGACCATGTCTTAACAATTACTTTTTAAGAGAAAACATTAATACCCTTAAAAGTTCCTATCATAATATTGACAAGAAGGGAAACAGTTAAGTACCAGGAAAAAAAATATTAACTAAAACATAGTATATAGTAAGGAAATTCATTGAGAGAAACAAATTCTTTGAGTGGTAAAATGTTCACAATTACATAATGTTTTTTTCCATGAATGCTAAGAAAGAATCCAAAGGATTTCTGGAAATCAGACTTATTTTCACAAAATTCATTAATCTATTTGAAAACAAAGACAAATAAATTCTTAAATAATCTCCCAGAACAAACACATTATGTTTTTAAAGGTAATCACTTTCATTTCATCAAAAATAAAAGAACTCTAATCTGGTGGCTTCTTTATGACTTTCATTAAACATTCTTTCATGTGTTCAATGGTTTTTGGAGGAAAGGTTTGAGTTCTTCAAAGATGTCATTTCAATCTGCATGCATCTTCCCTCATTTGTTCTTGGATTGCAACATGGAAACTGAAAGGAGTATTGGATATTTTTGCTGTCTTTACCAGAAAAAAAAATACCATATGAGTTGTAGTAAATAAAAGATCTTCACTTGATCACAATAAGTCTATCTTGTCTGATAGAATAAATGAAAGATGGCATTGAATAATGAAAGGTTTGTACCAGCCATTCTAAAGTGTAGGATTATCATTGATCCCATTAAAAAATACAGCCAAAAGATACTGTCCCTGGTATTTATTGATCTCCTTAACAGCAGTTATTCTTCAACTATGTTCTAATCATCTTGCTTCCAACAAGAATCAGGTGTTTTGAGCCTCCTTTGTGTTTTGTAACTGCATTAACAAAGATTTAGGCTGACCCTACTCCCTGACTATGGGAGACTACGGGAGGGATATATTTTTGTTAAATAAAGACATGTGGCTTCAGAACTAGCAGTCACCTAAGTACTATCTCAATCTGTTGCCCACAGTGTATTACAAAAGGAAGCATTCAATAAAGCCACAAGAGATCATCCTTTGACAGCTACCTTCTCATAACTAATTTCCCAAAAGTTGCTATTCCTTTTAGTGCAATTTTCTTGCCACAAAAATCAGCCTGCCTCAGAATAGCAAAGCAATATGTTTTACTGATTATTTTTTCTATTTTTAAAGAGTTTGTTTGTGCATATTTAAATATTTCTTCAATATCTTAGCTGCTAAATCATTATATGCAATATTAAATGTTCAAACCCTTATTAGCAATTGTTAAAAACATAACTTCCATGTGTTCCTTAAGGTAGGGCATGTTTGATTTCTGAATTGTTGTCATATAAATTGTAAGGCCAAAATTGGGCCCTTTGAATATGCAAAGTTCCCCCCTTAAACCACCTTGAACTAGGCAGATTTGCAACATTTTAAACTGGCACTTCATCCCTCTTTCAGCAAGCATCCTCTGCAGATTTAATGATCAGGAACATCCTTCTGATGCATGCTGGGAGATATGGCTGCAGGGTACAGACCACAGCAGACAGTGTGTCAGATGAGGCAGAACTTCTTGTTAGGGGTGAGTATGCTAATAGTGCAGTCTGAAGACATGATCACCATAAATTATCATACAAAGGAATTTAAATGCATGGACTTTGAGCACATCAGTACTATGCATTTTACTTTCAATTTTACAATATATGTCGTTTTGCTTAACCTTTTGCCTTTGAAGAGATTACATGGAAAACTGTTCCTTAGTAACAGACGAAACCTACAGATCCAAATTCAGGGTCCAAAAACACTCTTAGCAATAAGTGATCACTGAGTGTCAAATCAACTTACTGCCAAGCATAAACTCAAAATAGTAGAGATACTAAGACAATTATTGGACTATAGAGAAAAAAAATAAAACTGTGTTTGTGTGTTTTACAAATGCAAAGCTAGTGGAATTTGCTTTTCCTCCACTAACTTCTAAATCTGGCTTCCCAAAACAGAAAAACTGCATGTGTAAGATGGTGACATTTACAATTGTTAAGTGACAGGGATGTTTTAAAAGTCTGAAAATGTCAACATACCGACTCCCTGTGTAGAAATGACAGTTAAGTGGTTTCCAATTATAAGCCAGATCATCAAATTCTGCAATTCTCTGAAGCTAGGTCTTATTTCAATTAAGTAAATGACCAGAACACTCATTTCGTTTTGCACAGTGTCCCCCAGTATGAGAAAAGCAGATCTTAGCATACTTCTATTTTCCTTCCTTTCTCCTTTCACTTTTTTTCTTCTTTTCATCCTTCCATCCCTCTTTCCTTCCATCCTTCCTTTTCTTTTAGCTTTATATTCAAGTACAATATATCTACAGGCATTTTCTAAATTCATAAGTGTACATGTGTCCAATACAAGAACACCAGATAACTATGATATAAGGACTAGAATGTTATCAGAAGACTACCCAGTGTCTCTTCGATTTTGTTCAAACACATTTTGAGTGACATGAGTATTGCATGCTTAGATTTCTTGTACATTGTCTACAAGTAACAATTTTATAATCTAGAGGAAGAAATTATGTTTTAGATTAACTGACTTTAGTATTTTAGAATTATTTTTAAGAATGATTACAAAAACTTTTGTATGGTAGATACAAGGTCATACAGTGAACTTAATCATCCCTTCATTGTATCACCGAATGTTTACTGATTTTTGGTAGTGCATCTATTATTGGTTCAAGAAAAATTGTTTTGGAAGTTTTTTTTTTGATTGGCCTTTTTTCATTTTTTGTGTGTTTCTGTTCAGAAAGCAGTTTCAATATTTTCTCCAAATTTACATCAAGAATGAGTATTGTATGATAGTATGAAACACCAACTTTTTAAAGTGCTCATTTTTTTCAATACATTTCATTCCACTAAAAATTTCCCCTAGTGCCTTCGACATTACAAGGTTCGTGGAACTGCAAACCACCCAGTACTCTAATTTGTAGAATTGCCTTCTCTTGCTGCAGTATGTCTTAGATTATGTGTATTTATTGTGTGCACTTGCCTAGTAATTTAAAATGATGCTCCTAAAATTGGAGCTTTCCAAATGAATACTGCAATTTAGAGACTGATAACAAGAAACCAGGTATTTTTACAGGACTATAAGGGGCAAATTCAAGTGGCAAACTAACATTCTGCTTTGTAAGTAAAATTAAACTCAACAGGGTTTAGAACATAATTCAAGTTCAACTTTTTAATGTTCTGCTCTTTTAGCCTTTGGCTTTATGCCTAGGAGATGATAAAATGCATACGTTTTGGAATTATACCCAATAGCAATTTCAAACAGGTTGCTATTGTCTGAGTATTCATGTAGCATTCAGCTCAAGCTTTCCCTTGAAGTGAGTTTGATCAAGTTGCCAATTTTTGATTATATACTTGCACTACTTTTTTCAAAATTAGGAAAAATAGATTTCTTCTTCTGCCTGGCCACTCTCAGACAAATTTAAAAACTAAAATAAGGGTTCTAGTGTTTTTATTATTATTAACAATATTATTAAAGTTAACATCTCCTAATAATTGAAGGAACTTAGATTCTTGAATGTTGCTGTTTTTAATATTCACTTGCAAAATATACACACAAAATAGTTTTACTCAGCCAAACTTTTTTCTCCCTTTCCTCCAATCTCCTCAGTTGTAAACTCAGGGCAATGTTCTAGAGGAGACCTGCAGGACCAAAGCTTGAACACTCTGGATTGAGCTTTTTAAATAACTGCTACAATTTTAGCATCAGAATCTTTAAAACACAGTTATTCAAATGTGAATCAGAGGAAGATGGGAACAGTAAAGAAAACTCCAACCATCTGTTTGTAGAATACACTGGTTAGAGTGAGCAGTTCACTTCATTCAATGTTGATTATACTTGGAAAATAATTGGCTGGCGAGGAATGCATTCTTGTGATTCTATTTCAGGGGAAATATCAGGGGAATATATCTATATTCTCCTCTCCTAGATAGAAAGAAGCTCCTTTTTGTTGTTCTTCTCTCCAAATGAAGATTGACTATAACATTCTTTTGTTCATCTTACCAAAGCCTGCACTTCTTATCTGGCCACACCAGCACACTAAATTGGCATTCAGTGGGGGGAGGACATGACTTTCCCATTGCTTGTTTAGAATTGAGTGTTTCATGCTACTCTCCCCATAAAGTATCTTAAGGGCTATCTTTCCCTCAAATGATTGTTCACACTTTTTCTTTATTTTGCTTTTGGATGTCAGTGCTATTATTCACCTGTCTTCCACCATTATCATCATTATCTAAAAATTGAATTTTCCATAAATAATCAGCTGAAGCATAAAATCACTTGCTTTCACAATCTTAGCACCCTGTGAGCCAGCATTATCATAGCACCATGCACAATCTGGAGAGCCATACGAGAGTGAATGAACATCTGACAAGAATCTTCTTCTGGATATAAAAAGAAATTAAAGCTGCACCTGTATATCTGCGTACAATTTCAAGCACTTATTTAAGTATGCTATAACAACAACAGAGAAAGCAAGGGTAGACAGTGCCATAGGTGACTGTATCATGTTACCCAGGGAAAGGAAGATTAGCCATCCAGAGATATTAGTAAAAATTTATCCCTGAAGGGGATACACATTTGTGAAGAATTGATATTCTCAGGCAATATAAGAAGTGATCAAACACAATTTAAAAGATTCTAGAGAAAGGAGTGTTCATTTTTTGTTATATTATTTCATAGAAATCAATGTCATAAATGTGTTTCCCAAAGCAAATAGAAGGGTAGAAAACTATCATGGTTTAAAGAATAAAATGTGCTTAACTAAGCTAGGCTAAGTGGGAGCCAGAGCTTGAGTTCCTTCTATTATGTTCAGAGGCAGAGGAAGCAATAAGAAATTCACTCTTCAAATATCCTTATAATTCTTATTCTTAATGCAAACATTAGGTCTAGAAACTCTGAGAATAATCAAAGAAGAATCAGTAATCTCTCAGTTTCCTCTGAACACAGAGCCTTTCCTCAACTTGGACTGTTTTTATTTCCTGTATCACAACTTACAAGATGAATCCAACATGTATTTACTTGAATTTGTAAAGAATGAATCCTCCTTGGGATGCAAACTGCTGGGAGATCTCTAACTGCTTTTAGCCCTCTGCCTCTAACTCCACTCCATCACTTCTTATTCCTAGCAGAGTTCTACCTGTCAGTCTAATTTTCTCTACCTTTTCAATCAATTCAAGTCCACTCATTCTTTCCAAGAATTTCTTCCTTGAAAATTTTTGGTTTAATCTTTCCTAAACCACCTAGTCACTTTTCAGCACAAACTTGAAGCCATTGAAAGTTTGACTTTTTTGCCAAAGAAATAAGTCAACAGGCATTTGTTTATAAATTGCTGTTCATCTTTTCATTTATCCATTCATTTAGCACCTGTCTCTTCATCCTGCACTAATGTCAACACTCAGATCAAAAATAGGAAAAAACTTTAGGAGGCTCAACATTTTCTAGTCTACTAGAGAATGAGAGACATTTTTTTGTAAGTGGGGTAAGAAAGACCAGAGAAGTGCCCCCAGGTAAGTTTCAGGGACATAGTAAGAGATTATGAAAATAAGTCTGCCGTGGGTCCATATGCACAATTGGAGGGGCTCAGTACAAAATGAAAATGTGAGGCTACTTCTTAAAAATTAGTAAAAATTTTAGCATAGTAAGACATTAATCAAAGCACAGGGCCCCCTGAAACTATAAGACTAAACACATAAAAGTTGGCCTCCATAGCTGTTAAATTAGGTATTCCTCTATAGAACAGCAACAGCAAAAACTTTAGCAAGGGGAAGGAATAAATTATAGAAAACAGAAGTTTTCTCATTTATAAAATTAGAGTACTGAACCTTTTATCACAAGTTTTTGTGAGCTTTTTCACACACACACACACACACACACACACACACACACACACACACACAGTTATTTCACCCAAAAAGCCATGTTTTGATTATGCCGTCTTGAAATATTTATATTTCAATTTTAACTCTAAAAAAACCTATGCTAAGGTAGATGAAATTACCAAACTAGGCAATTTAATGCCAATTTAAATGATTTTGTTTTCAAATAGTTGAAAAATATCTAAAGATACCAGTTTCTACCAGAATAGAAACCAAAATTTGGTAACCCATGATTAAATACTATACAAATTCTCTTCATGTTCTCTTTTCTTGTGATTCTCACTAACAAAAAGGGAACATTTGAGAATTTTCTGGGTTTTTTTTTCCCCTTGGAAAAATGCATGTATGATCAGTTTCAGAAATACAATGAGAAACTAAAACTTGGTGAAAACAATGTACCTCTAACATACTAATTGATTTAAGAATTAAAGCTGCATTTATGTTCTCTATCTTCACATCTCACAGCACTAATCTTATGATTTATGCAGATTCTAACTTGACATACCTGTCCATTTTTGGTACCTTGCCACTTCCGAAAGCTTCCAAGCTTTAAAAAGGCACATGAATTTACATAAGCGTCTTTGGAAAATGGACTGTGAACAGTTTTTCTTTCCTAATTATATATTCATTTAACATACAATGAGCTTATTATACTTGGAAAATTCACAGGCCTTTATATGATAGAGTTATGACCTGGACTCAAGAGTCTTTCACAAATAAGAAAAAAAGCTAATAGTTACTTAAAGCAAAGCTGGGTTTGCCAATATGTTGGTATTTAGAGATCAAAGGACACTGACTCATGTTTTCTGTGTAATTTAGTCTTAGTTAATATTAATAACATACATTTTCAAATAATTTATGTTTAGAGAAAAATATGTTATGTCGTTGATTTAAAAAAAAAAAACTTTAAAACAGGGCTGGGAATGTGGCTCAGGGATAGAGTACTTGTCTAGCATGTATGAGGGCTTTGGGTTGATTCTCAGAACCCAAAAAACAAAATAACAACACTTTAAAATAGAGGTGTCTCCCTCTTAAAGAAAATTAATCTCCCTAATGCAATGTCTTATTGGACTATCCTATACCACTGTGGAAGTATTAGTTCACTATTACACAAGAATTTGATAATTTAAACAGCTTAAACAAATCACTTCTTTTACTAGCTTATTCTCTGTCTACATAAACTGGTTTGCTTGACAACTATAAAATTTCTTTTAGACATTGAACAGCAGTTTAGTTTCATTTGTCTTACACTTTGTATGTGGTTGTTTGCCTATTTAGAACTTTTTAACAAACGACTATAGAAGGTAACATATTTTGATAATCAGGTATTTGGATTCCCTACACTACTTTAGTTTGGATGATTCAAGTTACAGTTAACTGAAGTGACCTGAATGACCAAAATGACTGAAGTAGTTTTCATGCACATACATGTATATCTGCAAATACAATAAGAACAAGTAAATGAATTATCATTGTATACAGGCAACACAATGATGAAGACTGAATCTTTTGCATTTAGTTCACTCAACAAATACTGAGTGCCTGCTAGAAGAAGCCAACCTCTCTTTTAGACACTGGTATTTACATCAACTGACAGATTTTCTCAAGTTTCTTGATGGCAGCATTTTGAAACAAAGATTGTGACGTTACTCATTTTGAGAACAATTCTGAGGTTTTATATCATCAATATTTTGAGTCAAAATTGTAAGGTAATCACATTTCACTCTGTAATTCGTTCCACTGATTGCATAAGAAAAATAGGAGCTGACATCATAATACAAAAATACTGTCACTTCCCATTTATGTAACCTTGAGGCAAATTCCTGGTGTGTAGGGTTCATTGTTTAATGAGTACCTACATTATACCAGGAAAGTTCTAGAATGCAACAGGAAGAAATGGTAAGATAGAATTGTGTATGAATGCTTTCCGATGCCATGAGAAGGAACTTTTATGCTAAAACTTAAAGATCAATCAGGAAAGGAACATGATCAGATATGCTCTAAAGGAAGATCCTTTGGACAACCTCAGAGAGTGCTTTAGAGATCAGTGGCTTGCTAATAGAATAAGTAGGGCACAGTGCAGTAATTCTGATGAGAAATAACAAGGGCCTGGGAAAAGAAAATAAGGGGTAGGGAAAAGGAGATATAGACCCAAAAGATAGTATGGAGATAAAATCTACAGAACTTGACAACCTATTGACTATGCGAAAGAAGAAAGAGGAAGCAAAGATGAAGGCCAGTTTTAATGCTTAGATGGTCAATGGGAGGCAGATCCCCTACTTGGGTCAGACTAAGGCAGTTCCAAGTCATACTTAGAGTGTCAGAGTATTTGGTTATGAGGCATCCTCACTTCGAAAGCTGCCCTGGTTTATATGATAAACTATGTGCCCCAACCCAAGAAAACAGTCATTACTTATGACCATGATCAGATTGATCAGATTCACGTCATCAGGAAGACTCTGAGAAAAGTGAATGCTAAGTAAATGAACAGCATTTAAGTTAAGGCTCTCCAGAGACAAATCTCCTTAAGCAAAATAGGTTTGTGCCTGTGGAGGTCAGAAGAGAAACATTGGAGTTGATATGTAGATTCGGGCACTATGTCAGCATATTAGAGTCAAAAGGGAATGAAATGACAAAGTAGCATGTGAAAAAATAAGGGAAATGCTGGTAATAAAATCCTGGGAAGTACTGAAGTATCATGATAAAGAGGAGGAAGGATTTGCAAAGGAGATTGTGAAATGGCTGCCAGTGACAGATACTAGGAGAAAAATCCAAATAAATCATATCATTTGAACAGAGAGAGAAGATAATTCCCATGCAACAGAGTAAAAAAACAAGTAAAATAAGAAATAATACATACCACTGAATAGAGTGATTCTGAAGTCACTGATAAACTTGGCAAGGGTAAATTCCATGGATGATGAATGTAATAACCAAATTACAACAGGTGGAGAGGCAAGCAATATTGTGTGAAGGCAGTGCATAATCTTAAGAAAATCAGAAGATTTAAAGTCAGAGATTCTCCCCCACAAACACACATCTCTTACAGAATGACTTTGGGCAGGTAGTTTTATTTGAACCTCACTCATTCTTCAATCAGTACATATTCATCAAACATTTATAGAGCAATCAATGTATGGCAGGCACAGAGCTAACTAGCTAACCATGGACAACATATGATATGGAGGAACACAATATGAGTAATGCTCTTACCAGTATATGGGCAGTATGGTTTGCTCTCTGACTATAAGCCCTATTAGTAATAATTATTTTAAAATTCAGCTAATGTTTACTAAGTTCCTCCAAATGTCAAGCACTGTGTTAAAGACTCCATATGAATTATTTCACTTCATCCATTTAGCATGTTATGTAGACACAATGTGAGAGTGGTACTACTTTCAGTTCTAATCTGCAGGTAAGGAAATCAAGACACAGAGAGGTTTAGGAACTTATTGAATGTCACCCTGACAGATAAAGAATAGTGAGGAGAGCCCAGATGGGCTGGCTTTGAGCTAGTATTTTGTACCTCTTTCCCTGTCAAGTGTCAGGTCATTTCTATCTCTTCAATATTGTGTCCTGTATATTCTCTCAGTTCCTGATACATTTTAATTCCTGAAATATTAATAACTGTGGAAGACAAGAAAGAAAGAGAGGGAAAGAGGGAGGAGGGCACAAAAGAAGGAAGGACTACAGTAAGAAACCAGGATGGAGTGACAAGTTTTGCCTAGTAGTTGGAATTTTTAATCAAAGAGATGAAAGGCTGGCAGAATCTTACAGGAAGTGCAATGACTGAACCAAGAAAGAGAAGAACAGTAACTCCATATAAGTTTGCAAATGCAGCACTTTATCATGCCCATTCACCTGTTTGAAGGCCTCACATTCTCTAATCTTCTGAAGTACCTAATCTTTGCCCATGTGATCACAGATGGCATCATTGGGCACCATTTTATTCTACATCTTGATGTGAATAGTCACTAACCTTACTGTCTGGACTTCTTACCCCACGTCTTGCCAGTCATCTAAAATTTTAAATTCAAACGACTGGTTTTTTTTCAAAATCTTGTAGAGCTTTTTATATAGATGCCCTGGGGTTTCAACAGAAACAAACAATCACTTCTGCACGAGACACCTTTGGAAATATTAAGCACCTATAAATAATAGATCTCTTTCTGTATGGTTGCTTTTTATTCTCTCATTTTAAACTTTCTTGCAAACCCTACAATTATAAAGAACAAAACTCCCAGGTGCTTTAGAAAGTACTTGATATTCACTCCAACTGCTACAGTTCTTTCAACACTTATATGTGTTTCCTGCCCAAGTATAGGTAAATTATACCATGAGTCATAAAAACAAAACAGTCTTTAACATTAAATAAGATGGTTTTAACAACACCAATATTACATAAGCAAAATATAGAAAGGGATTTGTATCTGTCTATTAATTTATTTGTTTGAAAAGTTTGGGGGGGAATCATCCTATTTATTCACTTTTCATATACTTTGTATAGACATGACTACCCAATTGCCAATCACATGTAAAACTGACCTGTTTTTTTCTGAATTCATTCTATTTCCTGTGACTGTCACCTACACTGTTCTAGTGTGGTTTTTAAGTTTAAGTAGTATTTTGTGAAACCTAAAACATAAGGTCTTATAGAGCATATTCATACTGTACAGCCCATTTTTGATAACCCTAATGTGGTCACCAAGAGCCAAGCTCCAAGTAGAAGTTTTGCTGAGTGTCAACCAATGACAGGTCACATCTTCAAGAATAAAGGGAAAATTGGTAAGTTTACTTCAGTCTCTATTCAGAAATTTTGTTTGATTTTAGTCTATGTTCCAAGATACTCAATTTTTAATTGTTTTCTTGATTTTAGGTAACACCATACATTATGTAGCCTGGTCTCTTATTCTTCATTGAACAATACAAAATCCAAGTATTGAAGACAAAAAGGACTAGCACTGATCAGAAGAAACTTCTCTTGACTTTTACTGCAGATTGAATTTTGTCCTCCCAAACACCTGGCAAAGGTAATGTCTTCGTTTCACTAAGTACTCCTTAATTTGGAATTACAAAGACAATTAGCTCTCTAACGAGTTAGAGCAAGTGAGGTGAAAGAGTGTGTGGAGGGTGGGTAGGGGAGACTGAACACCAGATGATGTCTATAAATGCCAAGAAAAAAATATTACTTGCTCTTGGTAAAATCGTTCAAAGAAAAGGTGTTTTTTATTTTTTTAAATTAAAATGTATTTACATTAGTGCTTAGCAAGTATGGGAAAAATCTAATTTGACACATAACATATAATGATTGGCATTCATGAGTAAGTTGGTTTCTACTCTCTCTGTTAAATAGATAAGCATTTTTTTCCCCTTTAGAAACATGCAGATCTGCTGAGATGCCTTGAAACAGGGAAAAATGAAAAACTAGCTCCTAGCTTCAGAAAAGAACAATTCATTAAAATAGAGAATAACCTCTATTAGCTTCAAAAGTGTAGGCACTGCAAAGATGAGATACAGTGTTCTATCTCAGGTTATATGTTGACAAAAACTAGTGGAGAAAGGTTGGCTGTATTTATGCTGAATTTTGGGGGAAAAAAAGTCTTATATCTGCTTGAGCACTGGACCTAATTCAGAGCTGGTATTCAGTGCATGTTAGTTGAATCTCAATAGCCTAATTTAAAAATAACTCAAATTGTTTAAAATCCCTATAATAATACGTTGACCCAACCAACACATGGTCACATTAGAAAAATGCCCCGGGCCAGGATTTTTTCTCACTCTGGACAGTAAAGCATACCATGGATGAGTTATTTGACTTCTTTTGGATTTAGCCTCCTCATATAAAAGGGAGGATAATAATATTTAATTTGCTATTTTAAATAAGAGAATGAAATTTCAAATAAGAGAATGCTTCTCTGTAAATTATAGATATTATTGAAAGTCTTCATTTTAGGAAGAATTTTCCTTTTCCTTTTCTTTAGGATTAAGGAGTTGAACCATTGCTCTTCGTGGTTTGTGTGGTCAGGAAAATGGTCTACATCTAAAGGGAGACCCTAGTTCATTATCTGTTGACTGAATAGCCAATAGTATTCTGATGGTTTTGTTCACCCTGTTCAGTGATAGAAGGCATTTTGACGTCATCTCCTTCCTGTCTGCAGTGTTTCAAATACGTTTACAATAAAACACAACTAAGAAACAGTTAAATGTATACATATTCTTAAGACATTAATAGTCATACCAGGAGTGTTTGCATGAAATATCCCCATACCTTCAGGTGAGTGGGCAAGGAAGCAATGTGAAAATTAGCAGAATGCCTTTCTCACCACCTCCAAGAAAACTAAAAGGCTTGAAAGTAAATGTGAAATGGAATTGACACATAAAATACTCATTTAAAAAAAATGAAACCAAATAGAATGAGTGACTTTGACATTTCTCTTGAATTATGTCTTAAATTTTAAAGCCTTCTTGGTCAAAAATATAAAATCACAAAGAAAGAGGATTTTTTTTTTAAATTTGAAAATCGCATAATTATCTACACCGGAAGTGCCAGCATTCTCTTTTGACAGCATTCTGATTTGGTTAAGTGTTCATTAATCACAGAAAACTGTGGCATAAAGCAAGTCTGTTTAAATTACATGTTTTGTTCAGGAGGTTATTGGTTCATATAATTATTTCTTTTACGCCAATTCAAGAAATAAACCTATTATTAGTAAACTTCATTTTTAATACCTAATCACTATTATAAACATTTTATCACCTGATATGTGTATCAGTGAAATAATGCTCATATACTCACATCAGAACCTCATCTCACAGAATGTTGTCAAGCTAAAAAGCAACATTGATCATACCCAGTGAACAGACTCTTCCTGTAATCCATCTGTTATAGGGAACATCTGTTTCAGATTATGCAGTCTGAAGACTGCTCTATTTAAGTGCATCTGAAGATCTTATGTCTTCATTTCTCCAAATGAGTTCTATGGTGGCATCAGGATTTTACCAAGATTACTGTCACCATATGAAAATAGCCATCTTTTAGCATGTTTTGAGATCTAATGGTAAATGTTCTTTCTACAGTTGCATACCAAAATCTTGAGAGTATAAACCAGCAGTCACCTAAGAACACTGAGACAGCTCTCTCTCCATTATGGCTCAGTCATTTTTGGATAAGTTAAGCACCCAGGGAATAATATTTCTTCTTCTTATTTTTTAAGTCATTTGAGGACTACTGATTTGTTTAATTAGTAAAAATATGAAATTACAGATCCTGGATACATGTTTGTCAACTCTTGTTCATTTCTAAGACCATGAAAAATATGCTTTCATGTTGCTTTTCAGAAAAAAATATGAAAGAAAATCTAAATAAGTGAGAACAAGTAAAAATTTATACTTTAGGGAAAAAAATTAAATCCAGTGTCCCACTTAGAGTTTAGTCCACAGTATTGTCAAGTGTATACTTATCCTAAGGAAAATGGCCTTATAAATGTGTTTCCCTAGTTTTTCAAGGAAAACAATAATTCCAAATTTCTTTCATAGTATGTTTGTGAAAGTAAATCACAGGGATATCTATAAATTACTCATTTCCATGATTTTCTTAATCTGCATTGAGAATCATAATGAGCCATACACAGCAACCCAACATTGGATTTATAGAAAGCTGTGCAGAAACATGGTACCTTGCATATTTTAGCACCTCATATGGAACTTTCCTACAGGATTTCTTTACTGATCTGTTCTTAGAATTTATGTAATCCTAGTTTAATAAATGAATTTCAGAATAACATGTGGATTGCTTGAGCTTTTAAATAAACAAGTTGAATATTTTTAATTTTTCTTGACAGTTTGTACAATAGACTCAAATATCTATTTTCCATTTCAGAAAGATCACCCTCGATGGATGGACAGTATTACTTTTATATTGGAATAAAGTGTGTTCAACTCAACTCATGTAAAACTACATTAAATATTTATGCCTACTTCACCTCCTGGAATTGTTGGTTAATTTACTTTTCACCTGATGTTTGTGATAATTGACCAGGAAGTGTTTGTATTTTTCTAAAAATGAAACAAGAAAATTCTTTAATAAACATTTTAAACATGATGTTCTGGAGACTGTTACATTGGCAATTCAATGCTTCAGTCAAAAATGACACGAGTCATTTTATCCTACAACTCACTAGTCTGAATCAATCACATAGCTCCTTATAGCCTGGCTCAGAATCCAGCCTTCCAGTGACAACTGCATGCTATAAAATTAAACTTTGGAATAATGCATTAATTTCTAGTCTTATAAGACTGGTGTGAGGGGAGTGGGTGATATCTTTTTTAAAAAAAATTTGCCTAATAATAGAAGAATCATCATGTTCTAAGTAAGATTGCAAGAGACCAGCAACCAAAGAATCCTCAGGGAGGGCCAATGTCACTGACATCTACTGACATCTACTTTTTGATAATACCATCTTCCAAAAGTGACTTGAGAAACCATCACAGTTGACATTTGTTACAAAGCCCTATGGAAAAGAAAATTGCACACTTTTTTTTTTTTTAACAATTTTAAAAGATTTTGCACAAAGGCTTTCTACAGCCTCTGAGGGATTCCAGCAGACTTTTTCTCCTTGGTTTTCAAGACTTTATTCCATTGGCTTTCCCCTATGCTATCCAATGACTTCCAAGTCCCTCTTATTCTAAGATCTAAATTCCTTACTCTTACCTTCAAATCCCTCTATTATATGGCATCAGTTGATATTTCCAACATTATCATCTTTCTCCCTCCTCTTACTTAACCATTCTGTAACCACACCAGTTTTCTGTTCTTCCGAGATGCCGCACTCATTAGTAATTAGGAATTTTATCCCCCCAAAAGTGTTCATTATCTTTACATGGCTCTTTTTATTTATTCCTCGGCTTTCTCTAATGTGTCCCCTAACATCTGATGCTCACTTCATTTTGCTTTCTTCATTTCATTTATTACTATCTAAAATGATCGCATTCATTTATTTACTTCCTTTTCCTCACCATACATAATTGTAGATGTCATAAGAGTGGGAAACTTCCTTCCCATTTGCTCCCTTAGCCCCAGGATTCAGCACAGGGCAATGTTTCGCAATACTATTGAACAAATAATTAAATGTATGAGTGAATGAATATGGAATTCTTTCCCCCAAAGAGATTAAATTTCACCAGTGAGATAAATAGGGAAGAATGGAGAGAAGATAGCAAAATAATTAAATAAACAATAGTAACAGGCATTTAATATTACACATATTGCCACATCCTATGTCAATAAAGTATAAGCACAGATACAGTGAAATAGATAAAAATGCTGTGGTGAGAATTTTCGGGAATTCTCTTTGAAGTTTAACACTCCCTGTAAGTCCTTCAGACTTTTTTCATAGTTCCATTCTACTTTCCACTCAGTTCTTAAAACATACATGCATACACACATACTCATTCTCATAAGAACTATTGATTTAAATTGGAACCAGAGAAATGTGATCAATCAAATTATGTTATGCACTTGTATAAATATGATATGGTGAATTCCTCTATTATGTATAAATATAATGCACCAATTAAAAGCTAAAAAAATAAAAACTAAATGCAAATGGCTAAGAATGATTCACACACAGAATTCTAGATACTTGGAGTATATGATAAATAAAACAGGAAAGCTAAATAAAAGACTATGTGTTCCTCTAAAATTATAAGTTCAAGAACGGAGTTTTAAAAAATTATTTACTATATCAGCCAACTAATGGCCAGCACCCTACTCCTTTCCCCTATTTGCAGCTATGGGGGACCTACATTAGGTCTAACTTGCCATGTGTATATTAATATCACACTTGAGACATGAAACCTCTAACAGCTTCCTTTAATCTACTGCAGTAGGTGCCTCCCCATCTTTTTTTTTATTTTTAGTTGTACATGAACACAATGCCTTCATTTATTTTTATGTGGTGCTGAGGATCGAACCCAGTGCTTCACATGTTCTAGGCAAGCGCTCCACCAATAGGCTACAACCTCAGCCCGCCTCCCCCCTTTATTGAGTCTTCTTCTTTTCCTTGGATTTCCTTTTATTCCAGTAGTCACCAGCTACACCTAACTCAATTCCTACCCGAAATTCCCGACTTCTTTGTCTCTCATGTCTATTTTTAATCTGTATCACCTGTTTTTCATTATTAGCAGACATAAGGGATAAAGAATCTTATGAAATAGTTATTAACTCAGTCCCTGTAACATCACTAGATTTTACTTCATTTTCATTCTCAATACTGGTCAGTAATATCACTGTTCATGTTTGACTCTTCATCACATTGCCCAGAATGACTATTCTTGAAATTTCAACTCTCTTCTGGCTCCAAACTAGCATCCTACCACTTCTGCATTCCAATGTCATCAGAATTTATTCTACTTAAACTTAATTGCTTTAAATTGAAAAAAAAAAGAAACCTTCAGAAAAACTCCTCTAGTTACCCTCTCAATTCTACCAATTTATTCAAGCCTGAAATTTTAGAATATTCTTTCATTCTACTCTTAAATCTTCTCTATAAGGGCTCCCACCTCCAGTTCAGAAACATTTCCTGGTTCTTCACTACCTGCATAATTAAGCTCAAACTCATGGCCCTAATACTGCCTTCCCCAGCCTACTTTTCTCCACCTTTATAAATCCTGCTACTCTGATTGAACTTAAGCTATCTTCTGACTCTATTCAAAATAGTTTGAAATTTTCAGTCTTTGGGCATATTTGTTTGCTTATTCACTCCCCCACCCCACCCCCTGCACACACACACACACACAAAAAAATACCCTTTTCTATCTTGAAACATTAGTCCATAGCAACTGTTTTCTTGGAATCTTTGCTGAAAAACTCATCCTGCCAGCCTCCACATCTAATGAACTTGCCATTCCTGAGATGCAAAGTTTATTCTCAAGTAATATTGCTAGAAAATGGCATGAGAACGTAAGTCTCAGCTGTCCTGTGCTCAGACTTCACCTCTCAAAGCTGTCAAGTAGACATTTTGTCTTTGTCCTTCTACAGCAGATTCTTTCATGATTAGTTTTTAAAATAAAAATAGCAAAGAGAAACACGCAGAATGTTTGATCATAGACTTGTAAAATGAGCGGTTTTAATTTTGCTTTAAATTCTTGCATTTCTAATCTTTTGTCAATGTTTGTGATCATAAGAATACATCGTTTATAGCACTCTTATCTTTAAAGAGTTCTCTATTCAAAAGTGATGTTTCCATTATCCTATAGATAAATTTTAGTCCATTTTAGTAATTCCTTTCAATTTTGTATTTACCCAATTGTCTGCTTCCAGTTGGTCAGCTGTTCCATAGGTTTTTATTTTTTCCAATCAATTTGTCATTTTTCAGTTCCAACAACTATATCTTTGCAGTAGATACTTTTGAAGACTAACCTTTTCAGGTTTTTTATAATAATATAACCAGTTTTAATAAAAATAAGGAATCATTGCTGTTTTGATCCTTCATAAACCAAGGGAATTCTGAGCTATTGTTTATATCCAAGAATGCTCCCAGTTGCAAATACTACAAAACCTAACTCAAATTGTCTGAAAAAATAGGAAATATATGGACTGATGACAGAAAGTTAAAGCGGATTAAATTGGCTGATTCAGAATATCAACTTTTTCTTTAAGACCATGTTACTTCCATCTTTTCACTCTGTCATCTATTACGTAATATCATGAAATAGGCTGATTGACAGGAATAAGAATCTCAATGTTTCCTTGTTCACATGCAATAGAAGCTACTAGCCTCTCTCCCCCAACTATACAATGAATGTCCACCCCTTCATCTGGTCATACCAGTTTAGATCATGTTCCTTCTTCTGAACCAACACTCATTGCTCTAAGATTACCCTGATCTGATTGATTCTGGAAGCTAGGTCTAAACCAATCACTAGATTGATTGATGAGAGTGTCAAGACTGACAGATTAATCAGGGTAACCCAGATAATGGGAAGGAGGAAAAAGAGGTAATTACAAACAGAATGCTGGGACAGATAAAATGAATGACAGGGAGTCAACCACAAAGACCATTTCATCTCTAACATGCCGTTTCTACCTATAAATTCATTCTCAGTTGAAAAAAAAAATCATTTGTCTCTGCTCGTAACTTTTAATCTTCTGAAATCTATGTGTTGTCTTTGCTGAATTATTTGAAATAGTGCTACATGACAATGAATAACAAGGAGTGAAAACTAAGTTATAAATGCAAATAAAAATGAGACTCAAATCTGAACCCACTTTTGTAGTATTATGTACCAATTTTAGGTGAGTTGCCTGAACTTTCTAAGACTTCATATTCTGTTTAGATATACATGATAGCAGAGTGTATTTTGGTATAGTATATGTACATAGAGTATAATTTCCCATTCTTGTGGTTGTACATGATGTGGAGTTATACTGGTTTTATATTTACGTACAATATAAGAAAGTTATGTCCAATTCATTCTACCATCTTTCCTATTTCCATCCTCCCAATAAAATATTGAATTTGCTAATAGTACATTTTTGTTGTTTTCAAATTAGTTACATATCTTTCCACATTTATTTAGATGAAATCACATGTGTACATGAGTTCTTATTTTCATTGGAAAGAAATGCCTTGTGAAGTTGATATTGTCAAAATTACCAAGTAGTGAGAGGCCAAGTTAATGCTAGTAATGGAATCTTTTACCACTTTTTACATGTGTTACCCTACATGGTACTCACAATGAGACTAGTATTATCATCCTCTCTATATAATGTAAGAAATTTGAGACTTAATGAGTTTCAAAAATCTGCCCAAGGCGCTAAAGCTTTTACAGTAAAGGGTCAGGACTATAATAATTTTTTTTCTGATTCTTTGTACAACTCTTATATTCTATACATCATTTTTTCTTGAAATACATACATAAAAATTTCCTATACATCTTGTACAAAATATAGTTTCTTAAGCTCTAATCATAGAAATTGAAATTCAGTAGTTTTAGGTAAAGCTCAGAAAATCCACATTTTCTTTACAAACAGCCCAGAAATTTCATTTTCAGTGCTCATCAAAATCAAAGTTTGAAAGACACAAACATCCTCCTCCTCCTTTTTTAAAGAAATATACCATAGACAAGTTAGTATCTAATTAGTGGCATTTAAGAAAGATTAAAATGCAACATGAGATTTATATATCTATCATAACATATATACATATATGAGAGGGTATTCTTTTAGAATAGTGCTATATAATTTGTAAATATGAAATACTTTTTCATATTTGTATACCTTTTCACTGGATATCAAAATATTAAGTCAATAGCTATACTAATCTGTTAATAAAAATTATTCAATCCTTTATTACAAATCTGTATTGTAACACACTATGTTTTAAGTAGTGTCCTAGGTACTAGGAAGACAGTAGTGAAATAAATTTAGAACACAATTCCAACCCACTTGTACCTACAAGCTAAAGAGCAGAGCCCCCATTAATAAAATTATCACATAAGTAAAAAATATTTTAATTTTTATTTCAACTATGAATGAAAAGTATATGGGTACAATGAATACATAAAATACAGTAAATTTACCTATC